TGCAAAATGGTTTGAAACTCAACATTAAGAAAACTAAGATCATGGCATCTGGCCCTCTCAAATCCTGCCAAAAAGATGGGGAAGAAATGGAGATAGATTGACAGATTTTATTTTCCTGGGCTCCAAGATCACTGCAGATGAGGACTTCAGCCAAGAAATTAAAAGACGCTTGCTCCTGGGGAGGAAAGCTATGTCAAATCTAGACAGCATTTTAAAAAGCAGAGACATCACCCTGCCAACAAAAGTGCGTATAGTCAGGGCTATCGTTTTCCCAGTTGCAATGTATGGCTGTGAAAGTTGGACCATAACGAAAGCTGAGCGCCAAAGAATTGATCCCTTTGAATTATGGTGCTTGAGAAGACTCCTGCGAGTCCCTTGGACTGCAAGGCGATCCAACCGATCAGTCCTAGAGGAGATCAACCCTGACTGCTCTTTAGAAGGCCAGATCCTGAAGATGAAACTCAAATACTCTGGTCACCTAATGAGAAGGAAAGACTCAATGGAGAAGAGCCTAATGCTGGGAACAATTGAGGGCAAAAGAAGAATGGGACAACAGAGAACGAGGTGGCTGGACGGAGTCACTGAAGCAGTAGGTGTGAGCTTAAATGGACTCCAGAGGATGGTAGAGGACAGGAAAGCCTGGAGGAACATTGTCCATGGGGCTGCAATGGGTCGGACATGACTTTGCAACTAACAAGGCTTAAAGCAGGGGTGTCAAACTCGTAGCATCATGTGACATATCGTGACTTTCCCCCTTTCACTAAACTGGGGGTGTGGGTGGCCAGCGCATGACGCACCTGGCCTGCGAGTTTGACACCCCTGGCTTTCCCCCCCGAAATCTATTGCACTATCTTGCACAACACTGCAAGAGACTTAGGTTTGTGGTGCAATCCTGGAGTCAAAAGGCAAAAAGATGCTTTGGAGAGTTGGATGGGGAGCTGGCACATAGCACCTTGACTACGACTCTTCAAAATCGCCAGGCTTCTTTGTAGATTGTTCAGCAGCCCCTCTGCAGATGCAGATGCCGTCTGGAGAAAAGACATGCCTGGTTTAAGAAACGACAGGCGGAGTTGCTGCAGAGGCACTCCTGAATTATTTCAACACCTGAAATAATTGAGAGACGTTCAAGGTCAGCCTGACAAAATGGCCAAGGAAAGCAGTCTAATTGCTGTGCTTTTGTCCCCCGTTGTTGTGATACATGGTTTTGGCATCAGCTTTCCCTAACTGGATGCTCTCGCGATACATTGGATGACTTCATTATGCTAAACTAGCATCTTATTAGGCTACGTGCATTAAGGCTCCACACATACTTCAAAAACGACTCAGAAAAAAAAATGCTTTGGACTTCCTGTGACACCGCACCTCTTATTAAAACGGTCTGCTTTAAAGCTCGTAAAAAAAATATAATGGTTCTTTAGAGACACGACTCTTAAGGGCAACTTTAAAGTAAGCGGCACATTTTCCCCCCCCTTTCAGGCTCACTTAGAAGTCATTAAAGTGGGGGAATCACAATCTCAAAATAAAGATCCTTTTGGAAAGTTCTATTTTATTTAAAATTAGCACTCCGGAAAAAAATGCACGGTGTCCATGAGACAACCTGCTCTCAACAGAAGCAATACTGAATTTTGATAGATCAGTTCTCCGTGGTTTTGTCTAATAATCTCCTTTGAAAGCCAAGTTATGACCATCATGATAATAAATTCCATCGGTTAGTTAGGCATTGTGCAAAGTTCATTTTAAATTATTTTCCAATCGGCTTCAACGGATGACCTTTAGTCCTTCTTCCGGGCCCCCTTCTACAGGGCATGCATAACTTTATACACCTAAATCATTTCCCCCCAAATCTTCTTCCCCCCCCCCCCCACAAAGTTACAGAATCCTCAACATTCTAGGATATTTTTTTTTTAGTAAATACAGTATGCTCTTCAAGTCACCTGATCATTTTAACTGCCCTTGACTTCATCCTTTGTAGCTCTATTATACCCTTTTTTCAACTATAGTGGCTAGGACTGTACACAGTTCACCACAGAGTGAAGGGATAACATTGATGCCTTTATTTATACTCCACTTTCTTAATTATATTTAGCATGGATCTTTCATTTCATTCATTTCATTTCATTTCTTGGATTTATATACCGCCCTACTCCCGAAGGACTCAGGGCGGTGAACAGCCACAGAATAAAACACATAAATACAAAATTTAAAAACAAAATAAAACCGAATTAAACAATTTGGCCGAGACAAATTTAAAACACCCAATAATTTTAAAAACAAATTAAAATTTACATTTTAAAGGGGAAAGATTTAGGCCAGGCCAGCTTGATGGATAAAAAAGTCTTGAGAGCGCGACGGAAGGTGCGCAGATCCGGGATCCTCCGTATCTCTGGGGGGAGCTCGTTCCAGATAGTAGGTGCCCCCACAGAGAAGGCTCCTTTTTTCACAGTTCACAAATGAACCATTTGCTAAACCCAATCTTTTTTTTTCTGATTATAGACACAGACAGTTCAAACCACACCAGTGAGTATAGGAAGTTGGAATTTTTGTCCAAAATGCTCCTGGTTTTGGCGTTTGATTAACCAATCACCTGGTTTAAAGTGATTGTTCCAAAGCTCTTCATAGTCACTTTTGTTTTCTACCATTCTCATTGGTTTAATCTCATCTGCAAATTTGGTCAGTTCGCTGTATGTTCCTAAATCAACATTATTTATGGATAAGTGAAAAAGCACTTCTTCCAAAATGGATCCTTGAGGAACTCTTATTATTACTTCCCTCTACTCAGAATATTGCCCATTTATTCCTAATTATTCCTTTTGAGTTTTGAACCACTTAACTGTTCATAAAAGAACAGGTGCTCTTATGTCATGACCAGTACATTTACTTTGATGAGATAACGGTTTGGATTATGTTTATGAAGATACAGGATCAATTAATTGTATATTCTGTGGATTGTTTGATTAACACATGCATTGCAACCCTATTTATATAGCTTTACTACTGGTAAATACTTACTGACTGTAAGCATTAGGCTATGTACAATTATTCTAAATTTCAGATGAAGAATATTTATGCAAGAATGAGGTTCTGTATATATCCGTGATGGCGAACTTATGGCAAGCGTGCTGAAAGTAGCACAGAGCCATCTCTCCGGGCACATGAGCCGTGGCCTATTGCTCTTCCGGGTTCCGGCGCGCTGGCCAGCTGGTCTTCATGCACGCGGGAGTGCCAGAAACTGGAAGATCAGCCGCCCGGTGCACATGCATGAGCCGGGAAGATGATATTCCGGTTTCCGACGTGTGCACGTGCACCTGCCAAGTGGTCTTTGCGCATGCATGTGCACCAGAAACTGGAAGACTAGGTGGCTGGTGCACATGCGTGCACTGGAAACCAGAAGATCTGTTGTGGTCCGCCAGCAGCCTGCGGAGCTGGCAGCGGAGTTGGATAGTGAGGAGGCTGGGGAAGACAATGGGCCAGTCCTGGAGTCAGGGGAAGGCCGGGACGAAGGCTCTGCGTTGGAGGCAGAGATGGGGCCAGGGCCAACTGGGAGTGATGTGCGGACTCCGGAGCCCCCAGAGTCAGACAGCAGAGAGGCAGAGGAACAGGAGGAGCTTGTTCCTAGTGCACGCCTGAGAAGAGCTGCCAGAAGGCAAGAGCAGCTAAAGCAAAAAGGACAACTCGGGAGTAAGGCCAAGAGATGATAGGCCCCTCCCACAAGGCTTAAAAGACGGCTCTTGGGCTCTTTGTCGGAAAACGACATTGATTTGTTTCTTCTCTTGCTGCATTTATTTCTTGTCGGCGTCTTCTGCTTCTGAACTTTTGCCAAGAAAAGCCTTTGGCAGATTGCCTAATTAGACCAAGGTTGGTGATAAGGCTGAAGAATTGGGTTATGAAGAATTTGTTTCGAATTAGTTTGGACTACACTGAGAATGAGTTAATTCTCAGCTGTTCTAATAAAATCTGTTTGTTTTGGAACTGATTGCGTCTGATAATACCTACTTGGGCCTGGGTCACAACATGATCATCTTTCCAGTGTGTGCAGGCACGCCGGGCGGCTGCTCTTCTGGTTTCCAGCATACGTATTTTGTGCGTGCATTCCTGTTTTGGCACTTGGTGCCGAAAAGGTTCGCCAACACTGGTATTTATAATTAAACTAACTATAACTAAACCGTCAGGCACAAAGAAACCAGGAGACAGGGTAGAGTTCAAAAGCACTGCAGATTTATTCCATACAAACTATACCCAAGAATCTGATCTACTAACAGTCAAGGCAAATTGACGCCAGGTTAATAGTGAATGGACTTCAAGGGAGACTGGACTTAGGTCTCTTTCGGGAGCGTATGGACTCCAGACTGATGATGCATTTGACCCTGCCCTTAGACTCAGCCTGGTCATTTGCTACATCAACTAGAGCCACTTTGGTTTAGTGGTTAAGGCACCAAGCTAAAAAACAGGAGGCTGTGAGTTCTAGTTTACCATAGGCATGAAAGTCACCTGGGTGTTTTTAGGTTAGTTCCTTTCTCTCAGCCCCACAGGGTTGTTGTGGGGAAAATAAGAGGAAGACGTGCATATTTGCCACCTTATTTATAAAAAACAATAACGGCGGGATGAAAATAATAAATAAATAAATGGTCAAAGTTAAAGAGTTCAATCTTTCTCTTTCATTTGTCTTTGTATTTTGGGAAAAAAAGTGCATAACCCTCCCTAGGTCCCCATCAGATTAAAAGTTCTGCTGGCAAAATCCACTTTTTTGTTATCGTCCATTTGAATTTTGCCTACACATAAATGGATATAGGAACAACAGTCTGAAAATAATATTAGGGAGCCATACCAGACTCCTTTTAGATTTTTTTTGTGTGTTTGTTGGAAATTCCATCAATATTTTAGATTCAAACTCTCTTGTGTTTCTTGCGCTGGAATACCATATGGAATATACAGCTGAGTTGAAACTTGACTTTTAAAAGTCTACTAAGATAAGATAAACCAGGATGCAATTTTATACTGACCTTCAAAATTGTTCGGCCATCAAATGATTCCCTTTCCTTGAACGGTTTGCCCGTGGCTCGGTTATTCGGTTCTTCACCTGCAAAATAAATGGGATTTCAACTCAAACTGAATCAATTCCCGTCCCCCAATATACATATATATCAGAGGTGGGTTTCAGCAGGTTCTAACCAGTTCTGGAGAACCGGTAGTGGAAATTTTGAGTAGTTCAGAGAACCGGTAGTAAAATTTCTGACTGGCCCCATTCCCATCTATTTGCTGCCTCCCGAGTCCCAGCTGATTGGGAGGAAATGGGGATTTTACAGTATCCTTCCCCTGGATTGGGAAGGGAATGAAGATTTTACAGTATCCTTTCCCTAGAGTGGGGTGGGAATGGAGATTTTACAGTATCCTTCCCCTGCCATGCCCACCAAGCCATGACATGCTACGCCCACCAAGCCACGCCCACAAAACTGGTAGTAAAATTTTTTGAAACCCACCACTGATATATACAATACACACACACACACACACACACACACACACACACACACACACACACATATAAATGCAGGGAGATTATTCTGAATTGTTTTTATTCATTTACGGTAACAGCTCTTTACTTTTTCCAAAAGTACATTGTCAGAATGTTTAGAGTCATCAATATTGTCTCGAGGATTATTTAAGGCTGACAGTTTAGTGTAATAGACTCATCCATGGGAATCCAGGGTTTAAGATTCAGTGCTCTGTCAAAGCAAGCTTTGGTAGTAAAGCATTCCCTCATCTTGCTTCTCTGTCCAGCCTTCGAGAGCTGATCATTCTGCAGGCTACAAATTTAAAACCAGTGAGGAAAAATTGGGTACTTGGGCAATGCATCCTTGTTCTCAAGGTGCCTCTAATTCCTCAAAGCTGGGAACAAGCAAAAGAAGATCAATGGCTCCTTAAACCAAGAGTTATTTTTACTTGGCCGGACTGTGGATATTCCTTGCAAGTGTACTGCTACCAATTTGATATTTACAATAGCAGGTTTTGTGAAACATACTGAGAAACTTCATACTTCTGCATACAGACAGAAGGTTGAACAACTAGCCTTGTGATGCAACCAGAACAATCTTGAACTAAATACACTCAAAACTGTAGAAATGGTGATGGGTTTTAGGAGAAACCCTCCTATACTACCACCTCTTACAATACTAGACAACACAGTATCAACAGTAGAGACCTTCAAGTTTCTAGCTTCTATCATATCTCAAGACTTAAAATCAAAAACATCATCAAAAAAGCACAACAAAGATTATCATGTATGTATCCTAATGTGCAAGCTAAAAGTTGGAGATGTGATTGTGATGATGCAACTTATTATCATATATGGTGGACTTGTAAAAAGATCAAAGCATTTTGGATAAAGATTTGGTGGGTGATGCAGAATATTTAAAAAAAAGATTGAAATTTACTCCGCACTTGTTTCTACTGGGTATAATTATAGACTGTACAGTTGTAGAGACTAAACTGATCCTGAATTTAATAACAGCAGCAAGATTGTTGATAGCACAACACTGGAAGAAGGACTTTTTGCCTACTATTGATGCTTGGATACTGAAAGTAACTAACTTAGCTGAAATGGCTAAAATTTCAGCATACTTGAAGGATCATACACAAGAAAGATATATACTTTGCAATATTCAACAAGGGGGTAAAATACCCCCATCCTGGACAACTGCTTATATATCTTTGATACCAAAAGAACAAGTTGGTCCTAAAAAACCAGAGAACTACAGACCAATATCTCTTTTGAACACAGACTATAAAATTTATGCGAAGGTATTAGCCAACAGGTTGATGCCAGTAATCCAAAAGGTGATTCATGCGGACCAAGCGGGATTTATTGAGGGCAGATATATGAAGGACAATGTAAGGCAAGTAATAGACTTATTGGAATATCTTGATAAGAATAAACAGATTTCTGCAGTGCTGGTTTTTTTGGATGCGGAGAAGGCCTTTGATAGAGTGGATTGGAATTTTCTACTAAAGACTTTAAAAAAGATGGGCTTTGGGGACCAATTTATACAGGCGATCTCAGCAATTTATCAAGAGCAAAAAGCACAGATTATTATTAATGGAAGTTTGACGACAGAGTTTAAAATTGAAAAAGGAACAAGACAGGGATGTCCGTTGTCCCCACTTTTATTTATTTTAACATTGGAAGTCTTGCTAAATATAATACGGGACTCAAAAATTTTGAAAGGCATAATGATAAGGCAAGAGGATTATAGAATAAAGGCATTTGCAGATGATCTGGTGGTTACCCTATCATAACCAATGGAATCAATAATCTTGATGAACGACATTATACAAGACTATGGTAGAGTTTCAGGTTTTAGAGTGAACTCAAAAAAGACTAAAATGATAGTCAAAAATATGACACAAGATCGTAAACATGAGTTTGAAAGGAGGGCAGGTTTTGAAATTGTACCTAAGGTAAAATATCTTGGAGTTCAGGTTGCAGAATCAAACATGAAATTGTTTCAAAATAACTACGAGGTGTTGTGGCGAGAGGTTCAGAAAGACATGGAGATTTGGAAAAAGCTGCAACTGTCTTTACTTGGAAGAATAGCAGCAGTTAAGATGAACATTTTGCCAAGATTTCTGTTTTTGTTTCAAATGATTCCGGTGCTTAAAAGTGATAAACAACTGAAAGTTTGGCAAACTGGACTTAATAAGTTTGTCTGGAACGAGAAAAAGCCGAGAGTGAAATTGAAAATTATGCAAGATGTTCCAGAAAGAGGAGGCCTTAAACTTCCAAACCTACAGTTATATTATGATGCAGCAGCTTTAACTTTAACAAGTGATTGGTTTGGAAGTAAAAAGGCTGGAATATTGAATGCAGAAAGTTTTGATCTTGAATTTGGATGGCATGCTTACCTATTTTATGATGACAAAGTTGATAAAGTATTTAAAAGTCATATACTTAGAGACTCTTTGATGAGAGTTTGGAAGAAGCACCGACTCAAATGGGATTATAAAATACCGCTATGGCTGGATCTTGGTCATACCTTGTGGAATACAAATATAATGTCACTCGGGGGGTTTTTATACAAAGAGGTTCTTTTTACAGATGCGGGCAGATGGCAGTTGAAGACATTGCAGACACTGTTGGACGAAGGGATTAATTTAACCTGGTTACAATATAATCAATTACAATTGAGATGGAAAGAGGACCAAAAAACTGGTATTATGTTGCATGAGGAAGAATTGGTTAGACATATAAGAGAGAAAGGTCCAATGCATATTAAAAGGCTTTACAATGTTTTGCTAGAAAGGGATTCAGAAACGGAATTAGTTAAAGATTGTATGATTAAGTGGGCACAAAATTTTGAAGAACCAGTGATGTTGGAAACATGGGAAAAAATTTGGGTTCAGAATGTTAAATTTACACAGTCGCAGAATTTGAGGGAAAATTTTTATAAAATGTTTTATAGATGGCATTTAGATCCTAAAAAGTTGTCATGTATGTACCCTAATGTTCAGCCAAAATGTTGGAGATGCGAATGTTTGGATGCTACGTATTATCATGTTTGGTGGACCTGTAGGAAAGTTAAGGCTTTTTGGATAAAAATATGGTGGGTCATGCAGAATGTTTTGAAGAAAAAAATTCAATTTTCTCCACAATTGTTTTTATTGGGTATAGTTAAGGGTTTTACACGGGGTGAAATAAAATTAATATTGTATATGATAACAGCAGCAAGATTGTTGATAGGTAAATATTGGAAGAATGAAGCTTTGCCTACTATCGAGGAATGGACTTTGAAGATGGCCAGTTTTGCAGAGATGGCGAAGATTTCAGCATATTTAAAAGATTGTTCACAAGAGACTTATGAATGGGAATGGAAAAGGTGGATAGAATATGTTCAGAACAAATACCAAACTAGAAAGTACCAAATAGCTTTTATTTGAAAACAATGTATTAGAAATATTTTAATGTAAAGAGATAAAGAGGGAAAATTATATAGGGGGAGGGATGGGTTCAGGTATATATATCAGTATTATTAGTTATGAGTACATAATAGGGAAGTCTGGGGGGGAGGGTTAGGGAGGGCTAGGGAGGACGGGAAGTTTGGGGAGGGAGGTGGGGGGGTGAAAAAAAGGGGTGAAAATGTAATTGTAAAACTTTTGCAATAAAAAAAAAAAAAGAAAGATATATACTGGATTGGAGAAGATAGATTGATTATATTCAAAATAAGTATCAGACTAAAAAATATCAAATAGCTTATGAATGAATCTTTATAAGCGTTATATGAGTGATTTTAGAAGTATTATATCCAAGAAGCATGATTTTATCTATGGGGGGGGGTTTAAGAATTTTTTTTTAAGAGGGGATGTTAGTTTAATGGATAGTTGAGCAATTTAGTTTATTGTTAAAAGTTAACTGAAATACCTTGTGTTCTGCTCTGGGAAGTCGGGGAGGGGGAGGGGGGGTTGGGTGGGAGGGTTGTGCGAAAATTGTGTTTTTTTTCTATTAAAACTTTTTCAATTAAAAAAAAAAAGCACAACAAAGAATGTTCTTTCTGCACCAACTCAGAAAGCTCAAACTGTCCAAGAAGCTGCTGATACAGTTCTACAGAGGAATTATTTAGTCTGCCATCTGCACCTCTATAACTGTCTGGTTTGGCTCTGCAACCAATCAAGACAGACAGACACAGACTTCAACGGATAGTCAGAACTGCAGAAAAAAACAATTGCTACCAACCTGCCTTCCACTGAGGACCTGGATACTGCACAAGTCAAAAAGAGAGCCGTAAAAATATCTACAGACCCCTCACATCCTGGACATAAATTGTTTCCACTTCTACCTTTAAAACGACGCTATGGGGCACTGCACACCAGAACAACTAGACACAAGGACAGTTTTTTCTCGAATGCCATCACTCTGCTAAACAACTAATTCCCACAACACTGTCAAATTAACTACTAAGACTATATTACTATTCTTCTTCTCATCCTTACTAGAACCTATCTTTTCCCACTTATGGCTATATTCATGTTGCTTGTATCTTTATAACTTATATTGTTTTTATTTTTTCCTAGTATGATTTGATTGCTTATTAGTATCCTACGACTATCACTAAGTGTTGTATCTTATGATTCTTGACGAATATATTTTATTTCTTCTTTATATATACTGAGAGCATATGCACCAAAGACAAATTCCTTGTGTGTCCAATCACACTTGGCCAATAAAGAATTTTATTCTATTCTATTCTACTTCCTTTTTCGACATGCATGTTTCTAGTTGCCTTGATAGGAGGAGCGTGTTCCACTGTGCAGCAAATGTTCATAAACGGGAACATTACACACAGTTTACTAGTTGGGGATTTAGTTCTTCCGCTCGCATTTTTGCTCTTTCGGCAAGTCTACTATTTCTACCACTAGCAGTCCTTGACTTGCAATCATTCATTTAGTTTCAGCGGCACTGCAATCATTTCAAAGTTTCAGTGGCACTGAAAAAAGGTTACCTATGACTGGCCCTCACACTTACAACTGTTGTTGCATCCCCATGGACATGTGATAAAAATTCAGGCACTTGGCAACCATCATATAGTTGCAGTGGTTGCAATGGTCATGTGATCGCCATTTGTGATCTTCCCAACTGGCTCCTGACAAGTCAAGTCAATGGAGAAGCTGGATTTGCTTACTGACCACATGAATTGCTTAACTACAGTGATTCGCTTAGCAACCATGGCACAAAGCAGGGGTGAAATGCTCCCGGTTTGGACTGGATCGCTCGATCCGGTAGCAATGGAGGCGGGTGGTTCGGAGAACCGGTAGCAAAAATCCCTGCCCCCCCCCATGCCCAGCTGAGCCGCACGATCATCAGAGGCTTTTTTTTTTTTTTTTACTTTTAAAAGCATTTTTTCTACAACTTCTTCCACCGAAAAAATGCTTTTAAAAGTAAAAAAAAAAAAGCCTCTGATGATCGAGCGGCTCAGCTGGGATCTCAGAGGCTTTTCAAAGCATTTTTTTCGGCAACCTCTTCTGGGGAAGAAGTGGTTAAAAGAATGCTTTAAAAAGCCTCTGATGATCAGGCAACACAGCTGAGATCGTCAAGCCTTTTCAAAGCATTTTTTAAACCACCTCTTCCCCGGAAGAGGTTGCAGAAAAAAATGCTTTAAAGTCTCTCTGACGATCCCAGCTGAATTGCCTGATCGTCAGAGCCTTTTCAAAGCATTTTTTAAAACGATCAGGCACAGATGCACACATGCACAGATTGCTGATGACAACATCTGGGGCGGTGGGCGGGGCCTCCTGCCAGTTTTACTACCTTCTTGCAAACCGGTCCGAACTGGGGGCAACCCACCACTGCAGCAGACGCACCGTGGGTCGGTCCTCTGATATTTCTAGGCCAGCCCTGTGGGTCTGATTTAAGCACCCTGTGGCCCAGATATGCCGCGGGCCTCGAGTTTGACACCCCTGCTGTACATAATTCTACTCTTGTCACTTTTTGAAAATCCGAACACGAGCATGAAAAATAAGATTTGATCAACAATCCTTAAGATAGGATTGTTGATGATTGCACGAAAGCCAATCATGTACGCAAATTGTATAGGCAGGATAGGAAAAACTGTGGCGACGTAAGAACTTTTTCCATTTTATTTGCAAGGCCCATTTCAACAGGCGGCTCCTATATCTGCCAGCGTACTCCACAACATTATCCACAGGCATTTATAGGGCAGTGTAATTATGTACCGTACTGAATATTCACAGGCACATACACGCACGCATACACACACATGTATTTTAAATTCAAGGTAGTTATATTTACAAGTAGGTATGGTAAATAGATCATTTGTTGACCATGGCTTGATGGTTCTTTCATACAACTTCAGGAGATGTCCTTTTATAACCATGTGCATCAGTTTGCCTTAAGCCCTTCATTGGAATTAATGGTTGCTATTTTTAGCATACAAACAAGCAGCTATTCATATTCTGCTTACTAAAGAAGCTTTTAAAAACAGCTTTAAAAATTAAAAAGAAACTGCAGCTCGATAATACCAAGCACGTTTAAATGGAAAAAGCAGACTCGGTGTACTCAACGGTAATCCTCAATCCAAACGACAATGTTATCAAATCTACCTTTTAAAAGAGAGGAGACAACCTTGATTAAAAAGCAATACAGAATTATCACTTCTCTTCGATATAAGAGAGTATAATGTAGGAACCAAACATCTGCTGGATATATAAAAGATGCGTTGAATATTTTAATGAAGGAGTTTTCCTTTCCTATTGCAGATGAGTGCAACCTGCATGAAGGGATCCAGCGGTGGGTTTTACATTATGCTACGACCAGAGGTGGGTTTCAACAGGTTCTGACCAGTTCTGGAGAACTGGTAGCGGAAATTTTGAGTAGTTCGGAGAACCGGTAGTAAAAATTCTGACTGGCCCCATCCCCATCTATTCTCTGCCTCCCAAGTCCCAGCTGATCGGGAGGAAATGGGGATTCTGCAGTAACCTTTCCCTGGAGTGGGGAGGGAATGGAGATTTTACAGTATCCTTCCCCTGCCACGCTCACCAAACCACACCCACAGAAGTGTTAGTAAAAAATTTTGAAACCCACCACTGGCTACTACTGGTTCGCAGCATGTGCGCACATGCTCGCTTCATGCCTGCTGGCCCCCCAGTTCCCGCATACACCTGCCTTCCACACGAGCTCAACCTTCCGCGCATGCGCCCGGCCGCAAAAATGTGCCTAAATAGGATGGCATAGAGCTGGGATGGGTAGACAGGCCTACCCGCAATTTCTGTTACCGGTTCGGGTGAACCGGTCTGAACCAGCTGAATACTATCTCTGAAGGGATTCCTTCTTAAGTGGGCAATGAACAACTTGTCTCCAGGCTCAAGGTCTTTGTCTCTGTCTCTCTCCCTCCCTCCCTCCACTCTCTCTAATAAGCAAGCAATAGCAAAGCTAAGAACCGTCATAGCAAACTCAGGGATCAAAGCCGCGGTTCACATGTCTCAAAAGATCTTAATGGAGGCTCACCGTTAGGATCATTCCGAAAGACCGTGTTCATAACAGTGGCATGGAGCTTCACTCTATCCCATTCTTTTCTCATCAGCCCAGAGGTCGTAAAGTGATCCACCAGTCTATCTGCTATGACCTGAAGCCTACGGAAGAGAAAAAGAAGTTGAGAAAAAAAGGTAAGGTGAGTCCTTTTTCAATACTCACACAGGTTAGTCCTCAAGTTACAACCACCATTAAGCCCAAAATTTCTTTCTGTTGTTAAGGGAAATATCTGCGAAGTGAGTTTTGGCCCATTTTATGACCTTCCTTGCCACAGTTGTTAAGTGAACCATTGCCATTGATAAGTGAGTAGCCTGGTTGTTAAGGGAACCTGGCTTCCCCATTGACTTTGCATGCCAGGAGGTCGCAAAAGGGGATCACGTGACCTTGGGACATAGCGAGTAGTAGTAGTAGTAACGGTGAAAAACGGTTGTAAGCAGTGGTGAGATTCGGCCAATTTGCACCACTTTGGGAGAACTGGTTGTTAACTTTGTGAGCAGTTTGGTGAACTGGTTGTTGGAAGAAATCATTAGGGCAGAGAACCGGTTGTTAAATTATTTGAATCCCATCCACTGGTCTTAAGTCACATTTTTCACTGCTGTTTTAACTGTGAATGGTCACTGAATAAACTTGTAAGTCAAGGACTATGTGTATTTATGGAACAGATACCTGAAGGTTCATACTCTGGAGAAGAATTAAAACAATTGTTACCAAGCAGTTATTCTCAAAACACAAGTACAGTACAGGTAATCCTTGACTTGTAACAATTCGTTTAGTGACTGTTCAAAGTTACAACAGCACTGGAAAAAAAGTGACTTATGACAGTTTTTCACATTTTCAACCATTGCAGCATCCCCCTTGGTCGCATGATCAAAATTCAGATGCTTGGCAACTGACTCATATTTATGACGGATGCAGTGTCCCGGGATCGCGGGATCTCCTTTTGCGACCTTCCGACAAGCAAAGTCAATGGGGAAGCCAGATCCACTTAACAACTGAGGCAAGAAAGGATGCAAAAATGGGGCAAAACTCCCTTAACAAATGTTCTCACTTAGCAACAGAAATTTTGGGCTCCATTGTGGTCGTACGCCGAGGACTGCCTGTACGTTGTTGGTGTCCTGTTACTTCTTCAAGGGGGAAGATTAACACTGGGGGAAAAAACTAGAATAAATCCAAAGTACCAGAAACACATTTCAATCGTCGGGGCTTAGAATACGAGCAACCTAGATAGCACATCCTTCACTGAAACAGAACAAAATTGCATTCTGTGAAGAAAGAGGAAGGGGTGGGAGTGGGGAACCCCTTTGATAGGCCAATAAAAATAGTTTGACATACAATTTTTACTATGTGGAAAGCAAGAACTTGATAAAAACGCCTGTCTGACATAAGAAAAAGGCCTCTGAATAATGAGTTCTTTTTTTAATCTACAGGGATGTTTCAGATTACTCATCCCTGACAAGACAAGGTTGATGGCATATGGCATTGGGTGCTGCTGATGCTTTACTTATCCTCGAGAACTTGGTAGCTTCTCCTACTATGATCTTATCGTGCTGGTGTTACCAAAATGATGCAGAACAAATAAATTTATTTAGATTGCATTAATTCCATACTTGATTCGGTTTTATGATGATGATGTTGTTGTTGTTAGTTGCAAAGTTGTGTCCGACCCATCGCGACTTCATGGACAATGTTCCTCCAGGCCTTCCTGTCCTCTACCATCCTCTGGAATCCATTTAAGCTCACGCCAACTGCTTCAGTGACTCCATCCAGCTACCTCGTTCTCTGTCGTCCCATTCTTTTTTTGCCCTCAATCGTTCCCAGCATTAGGCTCTTCTCCAGTGAGTCCTTCCTTCTCATTAGGTGGCCAAAGTATTTGAGTTTCATCTTTTTTTTTGACTCAAGTTTTATTAGCTTCTGGTTTTTTTCCTTGACACACACCCACATATTTTATGAAACAGAGTATTGACCATATCATATCATATCATATCATATACAACTTGTCATATCCAAATATATTTTACTTAGTTACAATTTCTGCCAAAGTATTCTTTTTCCATATTTTTAAATCAAATCTTAATATTTCTATTCTTGTTTATATAAACAGTATCTTCTTTCGCCCTCAAGTTCTATTTTCTCCATTTTTAATCATATATATTCTCTTTTAATTTTTAATAATTCATTCTTTATCCTAGTATATTTAAACATGTTCGGGGATGCCTTTCTTCCATTTCATCTTTTTTGTATTTGAGTTTCATCTTCAGGATTTGGCCTTCTAAAGAGCAGTCAGGGTTGATCTCTTCTAGGACTGACTGGTTTGATCGCCTTGCAGTCCAAGGAACTCGTAGGAGTCTTCTCCAGCGCCATAGTTCAAAGGCTTCAATTCTTTGGAGTTCAGCCTTTCTTATGGTCCAATTTTCACAGCCATACATTGCAACTTTATGATGTAGTCTTACTTTAAAAGGAGTCTCTGCAGGTTTTACTTCACTACTCATTGTTGTAGGGGACAGTGCTCATCTCTGTTTCAAGGCCATTGTGTCAGCACTGACCAAAGACATTTCTGCGGTCATGTGGCCAGCATGACATCACGGAGTCGTGCAGTAGCTCAGCAGTTAAGACACTGGGCTTGTCGATTGAAAAGTCGGCAGTCCAGGTTCAAGACCTGAGCACCATGCAACGGGGTGAGCTCCCATCCTCGCCCCAGCTCCTGCCAATCTAACAGTTTGAAAGCATGCAAATGCAAGTAGACAAATAGGAACCACTTCAGTGGGAAGGTAACCGCTTGCTTCAAAAACCCACATGGAAATCCATTTTATGGCACTTTCCATGGCAATGTTTCCCACAGCTTCCCATTCTTTTTCTATTTTTTTTAAATTGGAAAATTTAACATCTTTTTAGGGAGAAAAAGGTGGCATAGTTACATTACAATATGAAGATGCCGCTATTTTCAAGTAGAATAGAGTAAATTAACCCTAATTCCTAGTCTGTTTAGAAACAATAGCCCTTTTTATTTTCTAAAACCCAGTAGCTGCTGCTGTTAAAAGTTTTTGTTATTGCCTTGGATAGTGGTTTACTAAAAAAAGAAGTTTAAAGATGTTATCTCAGATTACCTGATTAAAAGGATTCTATTAACGCAAAACAAAATTGAAATAAACGGATAAGGAAAAATTGGCTTGCTCTGTAGACGCTTGCTAAATTATTGTTATAAATAATTCAAGTAGCATAAAGAGTTTTCACCCTAGGCAGAACTCTACTAATCCCTATTTGAGGTAAAACATTTATTACTACTCTCCTTAATGCTCTGTGGAATTTTCTACCCAATGTCTATACCAAACTGGAATGATTTCTTTTTAACCCAGTCTTCACCACAGTTTACTATATTTTCTAAAGCACCTGAGGGCAGGACAAAAAGCAATGGATGGAAACTAATCAAGGAGAGAAGCAACCTAGAACTAAGGAAAAATTTCCTGACAGTTAGAACAATTAATTAGAAGAACAAGTTGCTTCCAGAAGTTGTGGGTGCTCCAACACTGGAAGTTTTTAAGAAGAGATTGGACAGCCATTTGTCTGAAATGGTATAGGGCCGTAATGGCAAACCTATGGCACATGTGCCGGAAATGGCACACAGAGCCATCTCTCTGGGAACGCGAGCCGTCACCGGTTGCTCTTCCGGGTTCTGGCGGCCAGCTGGTCTTCATGCGCGCAGGAGTGCTGGAAACTGGAAGAGCAGCTGCCAGGTACACATGCGCACGCTGGGAAGATGATCTTCTGGTTTCCGGCACATGCATGCACACTAGCCAGCTGGTCTTTGCATGTACATGCGTGCCAGAAACCAGAAGACCAGGTGGCCAGTGCACAGGCGCGCGCTGAAACCCGGAAGATCATTTTCCTGGTGCGCGCATGCACACTGGGCGGCTGCTCTTCCGGTTTCTGGCAGACGCACGTGCGTGCACGTGCCCCCATTTTGGCACTCAGTGCTGAAAAGTTTCGCCAACAGTGGTATAGGGTTAGGGTTAGGGTTAGGTTAGGTTGAAGACCTCCAAGGTCCCTTCCAACTCTGTTATTCTGTTAAGTCTGGAATTTGTTTGTTTGTCTATTTATACAAATTCTTGTAGGTGCTTCTTCACACAAAAAAATTGATGTGTGTTCAAAAAGGTTTAGTTGGTTTATTGACTAAGATACTAGAAATTCTCCTGCGCTGTTTCCTCAAAACTCTGCTCCGGCTACCTACGTAGACTTCACTTATCTTCAGAGAAACTTCCTATGGTCTCCTGATTCCAACGGTGGAAATATCCACAGTGTTTTTCCTACTAGTCTTCCCAAAACTGGGCTGTAAGAAACAAAGAAAGGCTTCCCAGCTGGACTGATTAAAAGTTGTCAGAAAGTTCAAGCCAGGATCATTGGCAACCTATCACATGTATGATTTATTGGGGAATCCTTGGAGGGAAAGATGTGCCAGTAAGGTTTTAAATTATCCTTGCTGGTCCTAATGTGCTTCGATCACTTTATTTTCCTGAGACATGTTTCCGTTAGAAGAAGACAACATACATTTGTTCCTCTGAATATATATGGTAGAATGAGTAGAAACTCCATGCTTAATATATCCTGCCTTTAGCACAATCTCTCTCATGACGATTGACTTCTGCTCTCAACATTATAACACCTGTCTCCTGACTTGGCCTTTGACATAATTTGGAGCACAAAGACTCCTCACTGTGTAACAAATATTACCTCCATAAATGATAAACAAAACTGAGAGTGCCACAAGCTATGCATTATTTTTTGAAATGTCTGTGTTAGGAGCAGTCCACAATGAAGCACCATTAACATACAGCGCTTCCGTTGAACAAGCTTACTTTCTGAGTACTGGCAAAAATAAGTCCCAGCCAACACTAGTGAGTAATGCTTGGATAGGTGTAGAGGAGAGAGTAACAGAGATGACTTTGACAGAAATGTGCAAGAAATGTTACCTAGGCAGAGTCTGAAACATTATTAATTTTAGGGAAGAGATCAAGCAGATGTTTGGGGAGATTCTCAGTCATCCAGGTCACAGTTCTGCACCTCTATAACTGTCTGGTTTGGTTCTGCAACCCAACAAGACATACACCGACTTCAGAGCATAATTAGAACTGCAGAAAAAACAATTGCTGCCAACCTGCCTTCCATTGAGGACCTGTATATTGCACGAGTCAAAAAGAGGGCTGTGAAAATATTTACAGACCCCTCACATCCTGGACATAAATTATTTCAACTCCTACCCTCAAAACGAGGCTATAGAGCACTGCACACCAAGACATCTAGACACAAGAACAGTTTTTTTCCCGAACGCCATCACTCTGCTAAACAAATAATTCCCTCAACACTGTCAGACTATTCACTAAATCTGCATTACTATTACTATCTTCTCATCGTTCCTATCACCCATCTCCTCCCACTTATGACTGCATGACTATAACTTTGTTGCCTGTATCCTTACGATTTATATTGATATTGTTTTCTGATTGCTTATTTGTACCCTATGATAATCATTGTGTTCTACCTTATGATTCTTGACGACTGTATCTTGTCTTATTATCTTCACTGAGAGCATATGCACCAAAGAAAAATTCCTTGTGTGTCCAATCACACTTGGCCAATAAAGAATTCTATTCTATTCTGTTCTGTTCTGTTCTGTTCTGTTCTGTTCTGTTCTGTTCTGTTCTGTTCTGTTCTATTCTATTCTATTCTATTCTAATTCTATCCCTAACCAATAAAACAAAAGACACTCACTCTCTCTCTCTCTCACACACACACATATATGTGCCATCTTATATATTATCTGTGTGGAATCCATTAGGAAGGTAATTTGCTGGATAGTTCGCACTTTTCCAGTTATAGATTTCTCTCCTGACCCTTTTGGTCTCGCTCAGACATGTTCTTCCCCTCTAGTCACCATTTGCTTGATAATTTTTGATGAGCTAATGTAATAGCCCAATGGTATTGAGTTGACCCTGTGAGGCTGTTGATGGTTAATTTCTAGCTGTTCAATTTCAATCTCTTGTTTTTTGCAGATACATTGTCGAAATTAGACCTGCCTAATGAAAAGTGGGATGATACCTCAGCAATTAATAAAAAAAATATCTCAAATAAAGCCATACTTTATTACACCATAAAATCGAGGAAATAAAGCAAATTAAATTATAATGAGAGGCCTGCTGGATCGGAATCATTGTATCGTAACTTTCCTCATCGTCTTTCTCCCCTTCTTTAATAAATATCAGAGAAGTTTTCCAGTAATATCGGTGATGGCGGGAAATGGTACCCTTCTGTTTTGTGGAACTGGGTATTTAGGAGAAACAAAAAATCAAAAGTACATCTCACAAAATAAAATGGGTGAGTTTTAATTACGACGTATGAAAAAAAGAAGTGATTTTTGCAATAATGCATAGCATTTACCCCTATGGTTTCAGAAATAAACCATGAGGAACAATCCACTGAGTATGCCTCAACATTTAGTAAACTAATGCATATAGCTGGAGAGTCCAGGGTTTACTTACTCCCTATTGAAAGAGAGCTAATGCGAAGGACGTCAGTTTTTTAAAAATGTAAATTCCAACCCTGATTAGAATTTATCTTTTATGAACATCACACAAGTAGCCCAAAGGCAGAAAACTGAAGCATAGTAAAATACGGTAATTCTCATCTTAACAAAAGTTTAATTTAAAATGATGTACTAAAATCTGATTACATTGTTTACTCTGATTTTTTTCCTTGGGCAAAATTACAGATACATTTGAAAGGAAAAGGAAAAGGAAGAAAAACATTTAATGTACATTTGGAAAAGAATACTTAAGACTTTCCAGATAATACTTAAAAGACTTTGCATTTGTAAAGAAATTAAAAAAACATGCAACATAATTTTGCAAAAGAAAGAATGTTATGAAGTTGGTAGCTGAGTAATTAAATAGCATCTGGTACAGGCAGTGGTTACACTTACACTTCATAGCTAAACAGCATTTTGATTAGGTATAAATGCCATGATATGTTGGTTACTTGGCCTCTTCTTTCAGACAGAATGGCTAAACCAATCATAGAAGCTTCTTGCTCTATTTATCACAGGAGTCAGCAACCTGCGGCTCTGGAGCCACATGTGGCTCTTTCATCCCTCTGCTGAGGCTCCCTGTCGCCCGTCAGCTCCACAATTGATAGGGCTTTCGGTTAGGACAGGTAGAGCAAAAAGGACGCCGCGCTAGGGGGAGACTCTATGGTGGGGTGAACCGGACTTCCAGTGGGCTCCAGAATTGAATGGGGGGGCTTCCAGTTAGGACCTTTGTGGCTCTTTGAGTGTTTAAGGTTGCCGATCCCTGCTTTATCATGATATGCAAACCAGGAATCTAGTTTATTAGCCATTAATGTCAAAGTCAGAAGTCACTGTTTATCATTAGTTTCCACTCTGATTTCTGTCTCCTTTGGAGAGAGAAATTAGAAATCCCTTTTCGCACGTTATAGAAACCCTCCATTATTTGTTGAGCAGAACAAGCCAAATAAGAGAGAGAGAGAGAGAATAACAGACTTAGAAATGTCCTTGGAGGTCTTCTAGTCCAATTTCCTGCTCAGGCAGGAAACCCAATACCATTTCAGACAAATGGTTGTCCAATCGCTTCTTTAAAACTTCCAGTGTTGGAGCATCCACAACTTCTGGAGGCAAGCGGTTCCACTGATGAATTGTTCTGATTAATTGCGCAAGTGGAAGGTGTCTTGCTCTTTTCAGTAATATGTATGACCCATTATGAACCTAAGGGTAAAGAGTTAGCATCGGCTTCTTTTTAGATAGAGAACAATAGAAGTTTCATCTCTTGGATGGTTTCCTGACAGATACGATCAAACTCAGAAGTTGAGAGGATTTGGGAGTATCGTTACATCAATGACGATAGAGAAAACAAGGGAAAAGTTTACCTTCTGGAGCCATCTTTCATGCGGACTTTTGCATACAGAACATCAATCATGGCTGGGTCATCGTTCATGTACTCTATACCTCTTATTTCCACAGTTAGCGGTTTGCGTTCAGTAATTGAGCTATTTAGAAACAAGAAATAAAGAGGTGTGTGTGAACATACCAAAAGGTTCACTGTGAACTTTAGCTAGCAACTACGTATTTTGTTACTTCAACTGCGTTAGACATAAGAAGCATCACTGGCCCGATTGTATGTAACCTGCTGCTGCTGTTCAATCTCTCTATATAAAAACGAAAACCACTCATGCCATAATCACAAAATCTCCAGAACCATAAAGCCTACAAACTTGAAATTTGCCACGTATGTTCCTTTTGGCTTCTAGGTGCTCACTAAGAAAGGATTTTTCGAAATGACCATTAGATCATTAGCATTTCATATACAGTATTATATTAACCCGCTCTGACGTTAAAGATCTAGACATTCTACTCCCCCTCCACACCTGAAAAGAACTCTGTCCCAACTGCCAGTTGCCTTACATTAACACGCTCTGATGCTACCCCTTCACTAAACTGGGTGTGGGTGTGGCCAGCGCGTGACACATCCGGCCTGCAAGCTGGGACATTCTACTCCCCCTCCCCCTCTGTTCCAATTGTCAGTTGCCTTATATAAACACACTCTGATGTTATGGAATTACACATTCTACATTAAGTTTCAGGCTTTAAGTGTCAATTTATCATGCCCGATCACAAAGTTTCGTAGCGAAGCACGGGTGTCCAGCTAGTTTAATATATTTGAGTGCTGTTAGTTCCCCAGATGCATATACCGTATAAAGTTTATTTTGCATGAACTGCACTGTCAATGGATATTTTAGAGATAACATACAGAATGAATGTTCCCCATTCTCGGTTCCTAAATTTGTCTTTGTTATTGTTGAGTTACTGCCTGTAGTGATGGATATTTCTTGTGAAGTCACTTTTTTGTCCTTCCGTGCCAGCAGATACTCAAATAGCTCTAATTTATGTGTAATACTAGTGATAACAAATAGTAATAACAGTCCTTAGAATTACTATGGTATGATCCTTCGACATGTATTCAAGGGCTGCTGTAGTCATATTCATGAAGAGCATCACATTAAATTTATTTTTTTGGCACAGTGACCTTTGGCATGCCACTCAAATGCCACTGCAATCTTTTACCTGGACTATATCTGTAGCTTTTAGAGTTGTTCGTTCAGCATTTACATGCCATAAGAAGAAAAATGGAATTCTGCTGTTAGGTTATAAACCTCCCAGACAGCTACTGCATCGCTTTTAGACACTGCACAGCATTAATATTAAGAAATGTTAAATAATACAAGGAATTATACTATCTTTCATATAAAATGAAAGGCCAACATTTTGTAATGTTAGAAGCTGAGGTTTTTAATCCATCGTAGTTCTACAGATAGTGAAATTCACACAGCTAGGCCCTTACAATTTATTTTCCGTTAGCAATAATGGCAATAATGATTTTTCAGTACTGCAGACATAATTGTTCTTGTGGCTGTTGTTGCTTTGCATTATAACTATATCAGCTCCTCACTTGTTAATACCGTGTCTCCCCGAAAATAAGACCCTGTCTTATATTTTTTTGAACCCTGAAATAAGCGCTTGGCCTTATTGCCATGCGCTCAAAAGCCCGATTGGGCTTATTATCAGGGGATGTCTTATTTTTGGGGGAAACAGGGTAGCTAGGAGTTCAAATAACAGGAGAGGTATCCTGCCTTGGCAGAGTGGAGTCAAAGGGGCACGGACCAGAGCAGCGGCCCAGGATGGCAGGGGAGAGGGGAACCAGTCTGCGCAAGCGACGGGCAGGTGCGCATGTGTGTGCATGCCAGTCCGCAACTGATATGAGTGGAGCTGCGCGTCCATGCACCAGCCCACCGCTTGCACTTGCACCCCCGGACTAGAGGAGAGCTGGATCCCTGATTTTTTCAAAAACACATAATTAAGAGAATTGGTGTAACCAAAGCGATTGCAGCTGACAAACTTTGCGGTGTAATATTTGTGTTTTATTTATTTCCACTCTTTTGGTATAGGAGTGTGAAAAGCATATGATATACCTGAGTTGAGAAAAGGGTAAAGTTGTTATTTCACTAGTGATAAAGATGGTAACTGTTTGGGAGAACTGAATATTATAAGAATAGAGTACGGGTGTCGATTTCATTGAGGCCTGCATCAGGGTTGAGTTTGACCTCGGAGGGGGGGTAGTAGGTGTGGCCAGGGTGGGCGTGGCCAGGGTGTGCATGGCCAGCTCATCCTGCAACCCTCTGCCAGTGAAAATGGAGTTTCTGTTTTCACTGGCAGAGGGCTGCAAGAGGCATCGTAGCTGAAAACAGAGCCTGGGAGGGCCACGTGCAGCCCTCGCAAGCTCCATTTTCACTGGTAGAGGCACCACAGGCCAGTCCACCACTGTTTCCAGGGTGGCCCATGGACCAGATCTAAGCATCCCGTGGGACAGATCCGTCCCTGGAATAAAGAATATATGGTTGGAAGTGTTATTCTCTCTGATTTCAGACAGGAGGAAAGATTTGTAGCAATCTACCAAAATGCCATCCTACTTACTAAAAAATCTACCAGAGAGTCAAACTGAGGATTTTTTACGCGGTGTTGAGTGAACAGCCTATCTTAGCAAGCTGGTTTCTAAAATAGTCCTGGAGAACTTCATAAAAGTGATCATCGATTCATATTAAGACTATGCCACAAGGCACATCTCCGCATGTCATGGCTACCACAATAACCCTGAGACCATTTCAAAGGATTATATTCAGGGGTGAAATGCTCCCTGTTTGGACCGGATCACCCAATCCGGTAGCGATGGTGGTGGGTGGTTCGGAGAACCGGTAGCAAAAATTCCCTGTGCCCCCCCCCCCATGCCCAGCTGAGCCGCGCGATCATCAGATGCTTTTTTTTTTTTACTTTTAAAAGCATTTTTTCTATAACCTCTTTGGCCGAAAGCTGGGATCGTCAGAGGCTTCTAAAAGCATTTTTTTCTGCAACCTCTTCGGCCGAAAGGGTTGTAGAAAAAAATACTTTTAAAAGCCTCTGACGATCCCAGCTGAGTTGCCTGATCTTCAGAGGCTTTTCAAAGCAAAACCTCTGAAGATCAGGCAACTCAGCTGGGATCGTCAGAGGCTTTTAAAAGCATTTTTTGTACAACCTCTTCGAGGTTGTAGAAAAAATGCTTTTAAAAGTAAAAAAGAAAAAGTTGGCCATGCCCACCCAGTCACATTAACCCACCACCACCACCAAGCCACGCCCACAGAACCGGTAGTAACAAATTTTACATTTCACCACTGATTATATTTATATCCTTAATTTAATCTTTGGGGAGATGAAGAGCACAAACAGATAACTGGGGATAGATGGGTGAGCATTAAAGTTATTCCAGTGTCAAAGTCATAGCCTAATCTGGTGAAACTTGGTCTCAGTATCGATCTTCTCCACTAAGATTAGCCTGTCTCTGGGGATTATGAAATCTAATAGGCTCTTGAATAATCCATGGGAATTTATAGGAGCAAGGTCAGGAAATTCTTCAATGGGTCTTCACCTCTACTGGCCTACACATTTGCTAAGGCCATCAAACAGGTCTAGTTGCTTGTGGTTCAGCTTGCTTATTAACATCTCATGGTTACTCACAAAATAACCCTCCTTTTTTATGGCTGCATCTATGCTCTAGTAATGCTCTTCCCTAAGGATGCACTTAGATAAAATATACATTTCTTCACCTAGCTAGCCTTCCTTATCAGAATGTTCTTTTCATTCTATTTTTTTAAATCTCTCTCTCTCTCTCACACACACACACACACACAAACACACTATTTTAATTCACTGCCATTTATTTGTAATTTTTTAATCTCCTCATTTGCATGCTAAGGTTGAGGTTTTTACACCACAAATGTGGTATAAAAATCTAATGAATGCACGTTAAATTAAGGTATCCTCTGCTGATTTCAATTAAGCTAGTAACAAATAAACAAGGCTCCTGTGATACCAAAGCAGGTCATAAATCTTAATATTTTGGCTGGCCTTAATATACGGACCAAATTTGTTATTGCTACCAACGCTGTCACTATGGATTGTATCTCTGACATTGCTCTGAATCTAGGAAGCTGTGAGCGGCTTCTGTTTAATTATATGTGTATAATTATTTAGAGTGCCTCTTGTTTAATTCGAGACGGAAAGAATGCAAGTACAATTTATCAAACACGGACGCATCAAGGAGTAGACTAATAACTCAGAATTATCAATAAGGGTAGAAACCAGCATACTAAGCTCATAAATATAAAATTATGCTTAGCTGTTATAGGGCCCATTTGATGGCTTCAGTGAACGGAGCCCTTGGTACTACATTCAGCAGGGATGGGAAGTTATAGCCCCTTTATGTCCTGTGGATTTCAACTCCCAGAATTCCTGAGCCAGCATGGAAGTATCCTGACATTCAGGATAAAATGCTACAGACCTGAGAGGCTTTATGTTATTAACTGTCCTCCCTCGAGACCTCACTGGCTGACTTGCCATGACACACTGCATTAAGCTACTCCTTGTTTTAATCATGGTTTACTGAATAAGCAACCACTGGAAAAATTGACATATCAGACTAAGCCAATATCCTGTTTTAGATCAGGATTAGAGTTTCGCAGTGGAAAACACACAGTAATATATTCTAAAATGATTATTGATGACCAGAAAAACACAGAGAACTACCTAGACTGCAGAAATCTAGATAGTCATTAGACGGCAGCAATGATACAAAGAACCCATTAATTCTTTATTGCCACCTAGTAGTAATGTATGTTTTTGTAGTCCAAATATGGCAATCCAAGATTAAGTAGTTAGTAAATTGATCCAGAAGTCAAAAGTCAAACTCTGGCTGAGCAACTTTTCAAATGTCAAATGCGAAAGAACAAAACTTAGGGACTGGGCAGAGAAGACTTCATCAAGTAATCAAGATTCATGGCATGTAAGTAACAACTTATTTACGGTTATGAAGAACAGACATTACTTCCAACAATGAGATAATCTCACATTTGTTTTATACTTGAGGCTACAGCTATCTCATCCACACTTAGATGCTATTTATTGAGCCAGATCCTTCTGCAAGACCACTAGGGCAGGGGTGTCAAACTTGATTTCATTGAGGGCCGCATCAGGGTTGTGTTTGACCTCAGGGAGCCAGAGTGAGCATGGCCAGGGTGGGCATGGTCAGCTCGACGTCACTTGTGTCAGGGGTACGTGTGGTTGCCCAAGTGCTCTGCCAGTGAAAATGGGCTCCTGAGCTCCGTTTTCGGTTGTGATGGCCTCCTGCAACCCTCTGCCAGCGAAAATGGAGCTCAGGAGAGCCGCATGCAGCCCTTGTGAGCTCCATTTTCAGCTGTGACAGACTCCTGCAACCATCTGCCAGCGAAAACGGAGCTCCATTTTTGCTGGCAGAGGCACTGCAGGCCAGTCCTTCGCTGTTTCTAGGGCCACCTCACAGGCCATATCTAAGCACCCTGCAGGCCGGATCCAGCCCCCGGGTCTTGAGTTTGACACCCCTGATCTAGGGTTTACTCAAATAGACTAAGATATTCTCCCTTGTTGTAATGTCCCCATCGGAGCCGGAATCTGCGGAGGAGGATGAACCAGAGCTAGATCCAACGGAGATCAAGGAGGCGGCTTCATTGGCTTCAGAGGAATGTGGGGAGCAGCAGGCCGAGGCAGCCCAGGGCCCCTCAGGATTTGGACGGATTGTTAGCAGGGAGGAATGGGTCAGGATGACCAAGAGAGGGCAAACAGTGGACACGAGGAGCGACAGAGCTCAGGGGATGAGCAAGGACTGCCCCCTCCTGATCCCCAAGCATGGAGAAGGCAAGAACAGTGCAGGTCAACATCACGATTCGGGAGGAGATCACCCCGCCCCTCTTCACAAGGCACACCTAGGGACTGAGATTTAAGGAGACACTATGGAAAGGGGCGTTTGTCGGGAACAAATGCTAAAATTGGTGGAGTTTGATGTGCCAGTACAGACATTTGGAGTTTGCAGGACTGCTTGCTTCTCCCTGACTTTGTGGACTCAGTACCTTGTTCCTTTGTTTTGCTGGACTGGGTGCAGCCAGAGGCTGGTGTGTGTGTGTGTGTATGTGTGTTTGTGATGTGTATGCGTGCGCGCGAGCTTTGCTCTGGAACTTGCCAAGAACGTGGGAGCGTTTAAGACAGAGGTGAAATCCAGCAGGTTCTGAAGAACCGGTAGCGGAAATTTTGAATAGTTCAGAGAACCGGCAAATGCCACCTCTGGCTGGCCCCCGAGTGGGTGGGAATGGAGATTTTGCAATATCCTTCCTCCAGGAGTGGGGAGGGAGTGGGGATTTTGCAGTATCCTTCCCCTGGAGTGGGGTGGGAATGGGGATTTTTCAGTATCCTTCCCCTGGGGTGGGGTGGGAAAGGGGATTTTTCAGTATCCTTTCCCTGGTGGGAATGGAGATTTTGCAATATCCTTCCCCTGCCACGTCCACCAAGCCACACCCACAGTATTGGTGGTAAAAAAATTTGAATTTCATCATTGGTTTGAGGGGACATTTGGAGCATTAAAGGGGAGTTTGAACTCTCAGCTGGCTGTGTGACCTTAGTGCCTTGTCCCGGGTCATCACACTTGTCGTCTGAAATTCAGCCAGACATGGTTCATAGGCTCCCTCTCTGAACAAGTGAATCTAGTTCATGACTGAGACAATGAGGACGGGGTCAGTCTCATGACCTCAAGGATTTTCCTCCTTCCATTTATTTTTTCCAAAAAAAAATCTGGTGAAATAGATTTGAGTTGACTTGTGAAAAAGTGACACACCCACAGTCTCCCAGTGAACTTCCCTGACTGGGAGTGGATTTCATGAATGCTAGACCAATCTCTTAATCACTATGCAGGTAGTCCTCAACGTATATAACCGTTCATTTAGTCACTGTCCGAAGTTAAAATGGCACTGGAAAAAAAAATGACTAAGGGCAGCATCCCCATGGTCATGTGATCAAAAGCCAGATGCTTGGCAACAGACTCATGTTTATGATGGTTGCCATGTCCGGGGGTCATGTGATCCCCTTCAATGACCTTCTGACAAACAAAGTCAATGGGGAAGCCAGGTTCGCTCAAGAACCATTAGACTAACTCAGGGGTGGGCAATTGACTTCAACAGCTGTCTCAGGAATTCTGGGAGTGAAGTCCACAGGTTGTAAAAGAGCCACAATTGCCCACCCCTGGACTAACTTAACAACTGCAGTGGTTCACTTAATAACTGGGGTAGGAAAGGTGGTACAATGGGGCAAAATTCACTTAACAAATGTCTCACTCAGCAACAGACATTTTGGGCTCAATTGTGGTCATTAAACTGAGGACTATCTGCACTACACTCCATTTACACACTTCAGTTGACTTGCCTTTAGTCATACCCACATTCTTACCACCGCATTTTGTATCATCAGAAGTTTTGTTGCTAATTTTAAGTATAAGTTAATCACAAAAGAGCTCATTTGTAAACTCGGGGTGTATCCTAAATTTTTGCAAGAGCTTTCTGGTGCAGTGGATTTCTAGTTTCGGAAACCACTGCACCAAAAAGCTCTTGCAAAAATATTACAAACACAACTGCATTGAAGGGAGGGGAGGGGGGAGAGAGGATTTTTTTTATCTATCATTGTACATCTCAAACCACATGCCTTTGTGCAGTGTTTTTTGACAACCTCTGCCCTTCAGAGTCACTGATCTATTGTTTGAGGCCTGCTTTCTTATACATGCTCTTTGCCTACAGCTTTTTCAAGAAATGAATCTCAGGGATATACAACCATCTGGGGCGAAAAGAATTATTTGCCAAACACTCTGCTAGAACAAAGTGTGAAGGTAATCACATTTTTCACAAACTCCAATGGAATAAAATCAGTCTTTGCTTATGCACAAAATCACTGCAAGGAAAAAAAAAGTAGCCAAGGATTTATAATAAAATGGCAAGAAAAGGGAAGATTCTTCCATAGGAAAACTTGAAGAACTAGAATAGGGACAGATTGTCATGGAGAAAAACTATCATTAAAATCAACGTCAACTTGATGGCACATAATCAATCAATCAATCAATCAAAAGGAATTCTTTGACTGTTGACTGATGTCATAAACAAAACACAATTCGTCCCTAGTCTTTAAATAGTTGTAGCTGCTTGCTACAATTTCTTACAATTCTATACTTTTTTCGATTCTATTCTTTCCATAGGTGCTTCCTCTTTGGACAAATGTAGGCAACTGACAGAAAAACCACTTAGAGAAACGAGAAGCATTTGAAATGTGGATTTACAGACGGCTGTTACATATAAGCTGGGTTAACAAAGTCACAAATGAGGAGGTGATAAGCCGCCTGGGAAAGCAAAGGGAAATCATCAAAGCCATTAAAAAGTGAAAGTTAGAATATTTTGGACATGTGATGTGACACTCAGAAAAATACAGCATCCTTCACTTAACCCTCCAGGAAAACATTGAAGGCAAATGAGGTCCAGGCAGAAGAACATCATGGCTTCAAAACCTGAGGGACTGGTTTGGACAAAACTCAGCAGAAGTTTTTCATGTGGCTGTTGATAAAAATAGGATTGCCAACATGATCGCCAACGTCCGATGACAGATATGGAAGAATAAGAAGGAGAAGGAGAAGGAGGAGAGAGAAGGAGAAGACGAAGGAGAAGGAGGAGGAGAAGGAGGAGAGAGAAGGAGAAGACGAAGGAGAAGGAGGAGAAGAAGGAGGAGGAGAAGGAGGAAGAGGAGCAGGAGCAGGAGGAGGAGGAGGAGGAGGCAACTGCTTCCTCTACTACCAAGCTTCTGTTTTACTTACTCAACAAGGTCTTCTCTACACTTCTGCAGGAGTTCCTGAGCTTTCTGGATTTCTTGTTCATTCAGAAGTACCAGGGTGCCAATAGTCAAATGGAGTTTTGCTGGGTTCTGGAAAAGGCTACTGCTGACTCCACAGTCCTACAAAAACATTAGGCATTCCTCAAGTGAGAAAAGTGTACATTAGAAACTTCATATGCATTCGTTGGACACAAGAAGTTGTAACTTGTACTGAGCAAAGAGAGATGCAAGTATGGGGAGCGCAGAAACATCAGAATTTTCCAAAGCACCTGAGTGCGGGACAAGAAGCAACGGATAGAAACTAACCAAGGAGAGAAGCAACCTAGAACTAAGGAGAAATTTCCTGACAGTGAGAACCATCAACCAGTGGAACAGCTTTGCCTTCAGAAGTTGTGAATGCTCCATCACTGGAGGCTTTTAAAATGACACTGGGCATCCATTTGTGTGAAATGGTATAGGGGTTCCTGCTTGAGGAGGGGATTGTCCTCCAAGGTCCCTTCCAATTCTGATGATGATGAAGTCTTGATCCTCAAATAAGAGAAGCTTGATATAAGCCACTCCTTGGCACTGTAACGAAGTAATATCTCCTTTTTGAGATTCTTCTGCCATGGAGAAATTTTCAAAACATATAACCACATCTTTAAAAAGATGGGACACATAGTACAAAGAGCAACACTGCTCCATATTCTGGGACTGCAATCATGATTCTAAGCTCTCCAGACCTTAAAGGCACAAAAAACAATCTGCAGGCAGATTAGAAACCCTTTTCCTTATTTATTTTCTATAATGGCTGTTCTTATTGGGAGACTGTTTTTAATTGTTACCGAGCAATGTAAAAAAAATGCATTTTTATACATGATAATTGGGAATGCTACCTCTCATGGCAGACTCGAAACTGTTAAGAAGAGACTGGACTGCCATCTGTCAGAAATGGTGTAAGGTCTCTTGCTTGGGCGAGAGGTTGGACTAGATGACCTACAAGGTGTCACGAGTTTCTTGCAAAAATCAAATCCAGAAGCACACACAGATAAACTGATTCAGCTGGATTCATTAGCTTCTTTATATACATAACAGATGAAGTATTTACAATACCAATAGTTGATTCTTACAACGTGGTAGAAGTTACCGGCAGAACACAAGGCAGGAGAGAACAGTTAGTTTCATTTCAGAAGAGCAGACAAGTTCACACACTGGTTTCAGTTTCGTTTCTATTCTCTGCACAGACTCAGAAGCTGCAGACTAAGACACGCCCAGGCTCCAGTCTGTCTCAGCTCCTAATTGGCTATGCCTATTAGTTGGTAATTAGTTGTTATGCCTATTCATTGGCTGACCTTGTTACCATGTCTCTGCCAGGTCATGAATAATCTGACACAAGGTCCCTTCCAACTCTGTTCATCCATTAAAAAACCAGATCTGTTCATCTGTTAGCAATCTCCAAGGAGTTTACTCCTCTATTTTGTCCCCCTCCCCCATCCCTTACTATCAAAACAAAGTTGAAAAAATGGTTTAAATCCCATCTGGGTGAAAGGTGTTTTAGATATCTTCCAAAGCTCAGTATCTATTTTTATGAGCTTTTCTTTAAAAAAGTTTAAAAAAATCAAAGCCTAGCAACAGAAGCTATTATAGTCTATAATGAACACCAGGAGCACAGGGAAGATGTTGAAACAGCAGGGAGCAGATCTGATAGATTCCAACTATTGGCAGCAGTTCATTTTAATTTCTGAAATGCTTGCAGATATAATGAGCACAAAATATATTAACACAATAAATAAGCAGCTTCTAGGAAAAGAGCATAGTCTATCTAGTTCCATATAGAAGGAATGGTGGCAAAAAAAGAGAGAAAACCAACCCTGAATTAATGTTATAATTACTATCAGTTTAAATAGCTGAATTTTCCCTCTACAGCTTTCCAGGAATCAAAGCCAACTTTCATGCCGACAACTTTCTACCAGTATCTTTCTACTCTCAGTGCAGAAGAGAAGGCTGGAAAGCTTTATTATGGGTAGTTCTCAACTTATGACTTATATAACTTGCGACTCAAAAATTTCTGTTGCTAAACAAGGCAATTACTAAATAGCAATAGTACTTAGACTGATATACCACTTCACAGTGCTTTTACAGCCCTCTTTAAGTGGTTTACAGAGTCAGCCTATTGCCCCCAACAATCTGGATCCTCATTTTACCCACCTCGGAAGGATGGAAGGCTGAGTCAACCTTGAGCCTGGTGACATTCGAACTGCCAAATTGCAGGCAGCCGGCAGTCAGCAGAAGTAGCCTGCAGTACTGCATTCTAACCACTGCGCCACTGCAGTTCTTAAATGTCATAAATGACATTTTATGACTTTTCTTACAATAGTTGTTAAGCGAATCTGACTTCCCCAATGGACTTTTGCTTATCGGAAGCCAGCTGGGAAATTTACAAATAGTGATTACATGACTTCGGGCAATGCAACTGTCATAAATACATGCCAGTTGCCAAGTGCCCAAATTTTGAAGATGTGTCTGTGAAGATGCTGGAATGGCCGTAAGCGTGAAAACCACTTTTTCCAGCACCATTGTAACTTTGAACAGTCACTAAACGAATGGCTGTGAGTCAAGGAATAGCTGTAATAGAAACAAAAGGTTCATGAAGTCAACTTTTAAAATAACACGTGAGCGTAACATGTGTTGTTACTATTGTTTACTAGTATTTCCGAAATTGGTATCTGCTGTATTACTATCCGTGCTACCCGTTTCCAATGAAATTCTGTAGGTCTTACAATATGCCAAATCAATGCTTTTTTTTGCTAAAAACCCTTTGGCAAAGTTGGAGTGGATTGTTTCAGGTTTTGATCTTTGCCTGTCTAGAAAGACAGAGCTCTGTCTACCTACTTAGGTCATCATTTATATTTTTGCAATGAATTTAATGATTCTGAGCTGCACTGACATTTTTATTAAAAACTGCACTCAGCAAATTCCTTTAAATCCTAATAAACGTGAATATCCTAGCATTGGACAATTAATACCGAAGAAGAACAAGCTGTATAAGCAGTGGGAGTTCATTCATTCATTCATTCATTCATTCATTCATTCATTCATTCATTCATTCATCAATGCATTCATATATCCTGCTGCAATCAATTTGGCAGCATAGGATGAAAACTCTAAAAACATTTGGGATGAGACTTCGTAGTAAAATATATGTTTACATTCAACCTCTTTTTTTTTTCCAACATGCAACTAGGTCAAACTAAATTGGAGTCTTATATTAAAATGAAGGCTGTTAATAACCTCTGGCTGATTGCTTCTAACAAATTCTTTATAAACTCAGTTAAGATGTAAGCATGTTTTAGTAAGTATCAATTATCTTATGAGACAACAAGTAAATAAGAATACTTGAATCGTCAAGGGTTCCAGGCATACCAGCGGTTCATATTGGGAATGTAGAACGAACTCTAAACTGAGCTTCCTAGGAAAGTCTACAGAGTTGTCTGGCTGACAGCAGCTGCCTACAAGTTTCAAAACCAGGAACCCCCCCCCCCCACTGGCACAACCTCAACCCAACAACTTTAACATCGATTCCCAAGTGAAAGCCAAATGGGTCAATGAACACCCAGTCATAAGAAGACACACAAATGACCCCACAAAAATGGTGCCAAGGCTTTGAACTACCACCTCAGCAATGGACAATCGCAAACAGGATTTGCACCTCACACGGCATCTGGCGCCGCGGGGCGCAGTGGTCAGAATGCAGTACTGCAGGCTACTTCTGCTGATTGCCGGCTGCCTGCACTTTGGCAGTTCAAATCTCACCAGGCACAAGGTTGACTCAGCCTTCCATCCTTCCGATGGAAATGAGAACTTAGATTGTTGGGGGCAATAGGCTGACTCTGTAAACCAGTTAAAGAGGGCTTTAAAGCACTTTGAAATCATATATAAGTGCTATTTCTATCCGCCAGGACTCTCTGTATAAATGGGGCATAGTATCCTCCCTTCAGTGTGACTGTGGAGTCTCACATCAAACTGTAGATTACATAGTGCCTGGCCGTAAGGTGAGAACATATACCAGTCCAGTATCTGATGTTTTAAATATAAATGACACTGCGCTTCAATGGTTAGGTGGCCTAGCCACTGGTGTTTGAACACAGACCTTTTTAACATTTATATTCTGTTGTGTTCTGCTAATCTAGATGAATATTAATATCTATTGCTAGTCCTTGTATGATATGCCATATGCTAAATAAATAAATTAGGCTTCATATATATACATAAGCCGCACAGAACCTTGGGTAGCCTTCAAACAAGTAAAGTTATCTTCACCCAAAGTACCATGCTCACAGATAGTACTGCATAAATAATAAGTCTCCATATAGAACGTATTCAGGCAAATTCATTTGACTTGATATCACAACAGGGCGAGCAATTAGTCAGAATCATTTGTACATATAGTTTCCAGATCTCACTGGAAAGATAATTTCCTGTAATAAATCACTATAGTGAGCAGAAGCAGAATAAAATGAAACTGTGAAGGCATCCCAGATGATTACCGCATAACTGTAGTATCCTTCCATTAATTCCTATAAATAATTTCCAGTTTGCTCCTCAAAATCTCATAATTGAGATTTATTTATTTCACAGCTCTAACTATCATCCCAATCGTAAGAATGCACAAAATATCAATCATATGAACGCGCAAAAATGCAGCAGTTTATTAATATTTTAGTATTAACTATATGTTAGTATGTTAAGAAAAGGTTCCCTTTGCACATATGTCCTAGTCATTCTGACCCTAGGGGGCGGTGCTCATCTCCGTTTCAAAGCCGAAGAGCCAGCGCTGTCCGAAGACCTCTCCGTGGTCATGTAGCCGGCATGACTAAACGCCAAAGGAGAACAGAACGCTGTTGCCTTCCCACCAAAGATGGTCCCTATTTTTCTACTTGCATTTTTTACATGCTTTCAAACTGCTAGGTTGGCAGAAGCTGGGACAAGTAATGGGAGCCCATTACGCGGCACTAGGGATTCAAACCACTGAACTGCCTACTTTTCGATCGAGAAGCTCAGCGTTTTAGCCACTGAGCCACCGCATCCCCTTTGTTAGTATGTTATCAAACTGTAATTACTATTATGATGAAAAAGAATAT